CTGGACAACCCTATTCTAAGAATTTCAGTTGAGTGTGTCAATGTGGCCAGCTCAGGGTAATATGATATCATATACAACAGTAAACATCACGTCTCTTCTGTTTATATCTTCAAAGCAAAGTAAACACGCTTTCATAACAGTACAGCTAGAAACCGCTCGCCAGAACCACAGGAACTTTGCTGCAAGACAGGCATATGTAACGATGACTTGGCACAGATAAAGTCGTGTCTTATTTATACTCTGTTCTACTGACAACAGGCCAGCGAAAAATCTAACAATCTACAGCAAAACCATCAATTATTATGGGCGTTATAACATAGGTGTGCAGCTGAACGAAACATACACGTCGAACCCCCCCAGACGATTTAAATCCCTGACGAAACATACACGACGAACCACGGCAACGGGTTAAAGAATAAAATACACTGGATCATTGCATAATTAAACATGTTAACTAACAAACAGAAAAATGAACAATGCTACAAAACACAGGTATCATGACTAGTGACTAAATAGTAACAACACTGAGCATAGTGATACAGCAAAACAGAAAATGTGATAGAACAAGAGTCTAATTGTGGTTGGAATCTATGACAGTTATGGCAGAAGGATCTAATTATAATAATATCAACTGATAAAAAAAAGATTACATTAAGTTAAAAAAAGTAATTTAAAATAAGTACTTCACAGATATCAAAGAGCCGGGAGAGTGCAGACGGTATAGCGATGCCTACAGGCTGGACGACCAAGGGGTTGAAGTTTAAGTCACAGTGGGGCAAGAATTTTCATTTCTCCATGTTGTCCAGACCAGTTCTGGGGCCCACCCAGCCTCCTATCCAGTGGGTACCAGAGGCTCTACACCTCCAACTAGTGAAGAGGTCAAGAAAATGTGGGTCTATACATCCACTCTCCCATACGTCTCCATGGTGTAGTGCTTAATTAGTTAAGCACAGAGACAACTTTACCTTACCTTTTACTTCACAGATATCATTAAGGTTCATTAGTAATTATTTACTGATACTATTACCTCACATTTCCTTTGGATGGGAGACCTTAAACTTTTTTATTCACATAAAGGAAGCCTCAGCCTAAAACAATTCTGGAACCCTTGTAGTAAGGATACTTTTATATGCAGATGAAAAATCTTCATTAAGCAACCATTTGACAATATTGGAAATGTCACTCTTCAAAGGATGACCAACACATGTATACACATTATCTTCTGTGACCTCCTTGTATGCCATTGATGTGCTCTGTAAGATGTTTAGTGCTTTCCTCATGTCACCTTGAGCAAGTGTTAGAAGTGCTTTCTTTCCATCTTCTGTTACATTTACACTGCAAAAGCAACACACATAAATTATTACTATATATATTATTTACTTACTCATTACTCAAATTGTAAGATGGTAAAGTTGCCCTTGTACTTAATTAAGCACTATAGCATGAAGATATAGTGGCAGTATATTCCATGCATTCTTAACCTTGGCACAAGGTGGAGATAAGCAGTCAGCTTCATGCTTCAGCCCCTTGACCCTTCCCCAAAGGAAAGTAACACTGTACACATTAGATAAGAGGCTGGGTGGGACCCAGAGCCATGCTGGACACTGTGGAAAAGAGAAAAATCATTGCCTCTACTGGGAATCGAACCCGATTCCCCACATGTCCAGCCCATAGCCTATTCTCTATACTGACAAAGCTATCCCGCTGAAGGCACAGTATAAAGAAAAGTGCCAATAATCAGATGTGGTAAAGGGGTAAGCAATATTATTTTTAGGTTTTTTAATATCTTCAAATATCACAAAAGGCATTTAACAAAAATTTAGAACTTAAACTGAAAAAATCAGTTCTTTTAGGAAAAGTATTCAATTTGTATCATTTTTATGTTTTACAAAAGTTCCTAAAGACATACTACTGAGCAGCATCAGAAACATACGCTTTGAGTACAGCCCTTGTGTCCAAGTACCACAACCGGAAGGCATATATGAGTGCTTCCAGATAAGGCTCCTCATGTTCTAGACGCAACATGCTGACAGACATAATAAACATCAGTTGTTCAACAACGAATGCAATAATATAAACATTTCCAAAGAAACACTAACGTTTCCTGTTCTATAACGTATTCCAATCTTGGCAGGATCTGCTCAGGTGTAAGTGGTGCAAATCGGAATCTTGTACATCGTGACTGCAATGCAGGGATTATTTTGCTCAAGTAATTGCAAATAATGCAGAACCTTACATTTTCTGTGAACTTTTCTATAACTGAAACAGATTTAAGAGAGGAGGCACATAAAAATTTGCAATTAATGATACAACATGTCATAACTATAAAATATTGTACTTTTAAAAAGCAGTTCTTACATTGAAAAATAATAATACTTCCAAAATATAATATTCTAATGACACTTTTACACATGACTAAAAGTATGTAAAAAAAAGTACCCTGGTATTCCATGCCAAATCTTATAATGTATATGCATACGCATCTGCTACAACAAAGGGTTTATTTATACAAATTTTACAGAAAGAAAACAATATAAATATGCTTGCAGGTTAATTTTGATCACAGATGCAAATTACTTCGCCTCAAAGCATTTTGAGCATCATTAGTCATGGCATCCGCTTCGTCCAGAATTATGAGTTTGAAACCAGTGTTGAAGATTGTTCTGGTGCTTGCAAAGCTTAAGATTTGACCACGAACAATACCAATTCCCCGGTCATCAGACGCATTTAATTCCAGTACCTGAAAAAAATAGGATAATTGTTAAATACCAATGACAGGAGAAATTTGAAAAATAATGAAAAAAAAACACCTAAAAATTCTGATCGTTATGATTGCCTTAGCTCATGGTTTAACAACGCAAAATCAAATGCAGAAATAATTGAGCAGCAGGATATGGGGGGGATTTAAGCACAATGAAATGTAAAGGACTGGGCTGGAAGAAAAGGGGCTGACCTGAAGTTCAAACTGAATGCATTGCTCTTTTCAGACCTTCTCTTAATATCAGTCCTACAATTTCAAAACATTTCCAGTCCAATGTAATATTAAGTAACAATTTTAAAACTAAAGCAAAATAAATGACATGTCATGGTGTCATATGCAACTATTCACTGCTCTAAAAAAATTACTGATGTAAAAAATATACATACCATTGAATTAATCTGGTTTTGTGAATATAACTGTTTGGCAGAAGCCAGAATAGTGCTTGTTTTTCCAGTTCCTGGTGGCCCATAAAATAATAAATGAGGCAGTTGGTCTTCTTTAATGAATTTATTAACTGATGGAAGACAAGAGAGCAATTAAAATACATAAACATTTCCTAACCTTCATATATCCAATCAAATATGAACAATGTGAACATTTTCCCACTGCTGATTTTTTTTTTGTCATGGGTAAATTCTGTAAGCACAAGCAATAAAGAACTGTGCTCAGCCACAGCTGAAAAGCCATGTCCTAAACTAGGCAATGCTAAAGAATGGGGTAGGACATGATTCTCTAGTGCTCACATGCCATTAATTTTCTTTGTTCCATACAAGCCTCCCCACCGGCTCTGGGGCCCACCCAGCCCCATATAGAATGAGTACCAGTGGCTGTTTCCAGTGGGAGGAGTAGAGTGGCAGGGGCATAAATATGACTACTCCATTCATTCATTCATTCATACATTCTATTTACATTTCATGGATCCTCACATGGCTGGAAGACTGGTGGATATAGAATTATTCAGAGACAGCAGGACAAGTCCCATCAATTATTATAAATAAAAATTAATCATATTTAATCCATAACAATTACACATATTATCCAAGACAAATGACAATGTGTAAATCATTAAAACAGTTAGGAAATATATATGTAAAAGAATGGTACACACTAATATGACACAAGACTACAATAATGAAACATAAAAATATACTACTAGGCATTCAGCGTATAACAGACCAAAATCGTTAATTAATACTGAAGTTAAAATATTCCTCCAAGTAAAATGAACTTAAGAGTAGAAACCTTTTTAAAGCAAATCTCATTATTTCATATTACGAGCTAAGTTCTTTATGCTAGAAGGAAGTTTATTAAAAACTTTGATTCCAAAATAGTATGTTCCTTTTTTTAAATACTGCTAAATTACATATTGGATAATGGAAATTGTTATTGTGTCTTGTATTAATGCTATGAATCTCAGAGTTAGATTTAAATTGTTCCCCATTTTAACCATAAATAGCAAGACAGAAAATATGTACTGCGATTGGAAGCGCAAAATTTTCAGTTTCTTAAACAATTCCCTGCAAGGGTCATAAATTCTAGAGCTAGTAATAATTCTAATTACCCTTTTTTGTAGCCTAAAAATATTAATACTATGGGGAGAATTGCCCCAGAAAATTATACCATAGGTCATAAAGTAAAAGTAAAGCTATCCCTGTAACAGGTCGTGAAGGCCCATAGGGTTGTGAGACGTTGAGGGTTCCACATTATCTAGACAATCAGCTCAAAGATGGTGGTAAGGTTGTCAGCCTTATGCGCCTGCCATGCTTTACTCTCCAGGAAAATTATTTAATTCCTGGTACTCATTTCTGTTAGAGGCTGAGTCAACCCCAGGGCCATAGTGGGGCTGGAAGGATTAGGTCAATTGAAAAAATCCAGTGACCTCATCGGGACTTGAACTCGTGACCTTCCGGCTTGTAGCATAGCCTCTCAACCAACTACGCTACCGTGTGCCCCCCATAGGGCATAACAGAATGAAAATAAATCTTTCTCATTGTTTCCTGTGCCATACAAGGTTTAAGAGCCCTGATTGCATAACAGGCTGAACCTAATTGAGACATAAGCCAGTCGATATGTCCTTTCCATGTCAACATATTGCTGATAATTAATCCAAGAAATTTGGTACTGGTAGATTTAGCAATCTGATTGTTACTGTGGTCAATATGCAGATCCACCGGATAGCTATTCCTAGTCAAAAATTGTATAAAATATCTCTTATCGAAATTTAGTGCCAATAAATTAGCTTTAAACCAGTCATTTATGTTCTTAAATGTTTGAATAATATTGTTTTCATAATCTAAAGGGCTAGAATTCATGATAATTATACTGGTGTCATGTGCAAAAAGAGCAGGTTTGGACTAACTAATTATAATGTTTGGCAAGTCATTTATTTATAAAAGAAACAATAAAGGTCCCAGTATCAATCCCTGGGGAACATCATTAACTTTGCCCCCATCTGGAATTGTTAGAGTATTACTAACAATCAAAATCACTTTTGTATTAATTTTGTTATAGTTTGAATGTTGGCGCCTTATATCTCCATATTGTGTAGAGGGCGCTCTTTTCCATTCTTTTGTTTTTTGTTCCGACAGTCTTCCAAAAGAAAGAAGGGCACTGCGAATTAGTGATCGAAGTCAGAGTCTGACGCTGCCTGAGAGTTTGTGTGTTCAACCTTCTTGTGATAAAAAGGGACATTACCCTGTCTCATTCTTTGTGATTTTCTCTATAATTATTACTGTGATTAAACTGGTAAATTGAACTGACATTGTTATTTATTTATACTGCTTCCATCGTCTCAACAGGAATGAATACGCCAATTACTGATTACAACCCTTTGGTACCTATCTTTGAGATGGGATTTTATCAATGCATTGGCCTTACCAACTATTCCATAAAATTCTAGTTTAGATAGTAAAATGACATGATTGACACAGTGAAAGGCTTTCTTCAAATCACAGAAAATGCCACTGACTAATATTTTGTTATTCAGTACATTTACTATATCATTAATTAATTAATTATCTGCCTGGTCCCATCTTAAGGAGGATTCAAGACCACAGAAACTGTTTTCAAGACTGCTAAATTATTATAGTCATTTATTATTATATTGTCATATTATTATCTCTGTATTACTATATTATTATTATTATTATTATT